GCCGTGGGCGAGCAGAAGGGCTATCATCTCCGTGTCCCGAGCCTTGGCCGCCTGCTCGATCAGAGTTAGAGGGTCCCTCTTGTATTGATTGCTTGAAGAATTCGGAGGAAACCGGGCTCGGAGCTCATTTATATCAGTGCTGCTGCCACTGTCCTTGGGCCGGAGCTCGAGGAGCATCCTCGCGACGGCGGTGTCTTTTGCCTCAACGGCTGCCTTGAGTAAGTTGTCTGCCAGCGCGCGCGGGGTGTGGCCGGGCAGCTGGAGGATGCCACGCAGCAAGGACGTGGCGTTGGCCTGCTGCCGAAGATGCGAAATGATCGATGCCGTTGGGATATCGTCAAGTCCCGCGAAGCCGTTGGCCACGGAGAAGAGCACCATCCGCAGCACCGTCGAGGCCGACATGTCGTTCTTGTCGATGAGGATACGGTTGGCAAAGGTTTCAGTGAAGTTGTCATGGCTCTGTTGTCGTCCGAGTTGAGGAAGAGCATGCTGGTTGATGCTGGGTCCTTGGCGACGTGGAGTGAAGCTGCGGAGGTAGAGAAAGAGAGCGGCCGGATCCATTGGCCGCGGAGACTTGGTGGCCTTCTGTATCTCAAGAACAAGACGCTGCATGTCCTGCTGGACGTGCTGGATGGCAGCAGAGTCCTGCTTCAGAAGTTGCCTTTGAGTCGGGTCATCTGCCAGCTGTCAGTTTTGTTCGATATTCAAGGGAAGCTACAGTCTTACCTCCAAATACAGCCCTCTCAAAGTGCTCGAACGGCAAATTGCACGGCTGAGCATAAGGCTCGGCGCTTGTTGGCTCTTGCTGCCTAACAAATGCCCCCTCACTAATTGACCTGAGCGAAACCCACTCGCCTGTGGCCTCGAGGACCTCGATGTCAATCTCCGGGAGCATCCCGGGGGCGTAGTCTGTAAAAAAAAATTAGCAAAGAGACATTCTGAGAAATGACGCAGGAGCTCACCCTCTGCTGCAAAGACGTCTCGCGCATCGGTCTCATGTCTGCCGCGAATGTCCTTCATCTCGTCCTCGGATAACAGCTGTCCCTCGCTTAGAAGCCTGCACTGCACGCCGGAGGCCACAAGATCATCGGCTGCCCGCAGGACGACGCGCCAGTGCTTTTGCCGCGCAGTGCGTCGGCCGGCCCATGTTCGGAGCCTCGCTTCGACCTGGGCTGGTCTGCCACGGATAGTCAGCGCCTTCCAGTCTTGATGGGTGGTTCTTGGGAGGTGGCGACAATTACTCACGTTGCTTGGACACCGCGCTGCTCGCGCAGCAAGCCCGCCAGCTCCGCGCCATCGTGGTCTATGCTCGCGCGCAGTACGAAGTCGCGTAGCTTTTCCCAATCTATGGGGGTCGTGCCCACTGCCGGCCCAGCGGTGTCATGCGTCTCGGACGCCATGGCCTTGCTTGTGGTCTTCGATTTATTCTGGGTATCTCCAGTCTCAAAATCAGATGCTCTCGATACGTGCCGTAAGCTGAGTGATGCGGTGTCTCTGTGAGAAGAGGGGGAAGACCAAACACAGACACTTATTATGTAGTCAGCATTGGAGGTCTAAGCCTCCGCACGGCTGCCTAGCGCTAGCCTTGACCAGGCCACTCATTCACATGCAAGTTGAGAAACCTGCAGCTGTGGATATCCTGAGTCGGATCGTATTCCGTGCAGGCACACCTAGTCGACAAACACTCCAGATCCCTTCAGTGATGGAAACAACGAGGGACAGTTCACTTGATAACTGGCTAGATGTTGCAGGCATCCAATATCGCGGAAGGCTACAAATCTAGGGTAGTTACAATAAGTAGAACATAGGTAGAACATACATTCTTAGCAACGCCTGGTCATTACCGTCCTATGCCCCATAATATCCCATCAAATGTTCAATGCATGGCTTGATGTTACATGACTGCAGCAAAAACGACACCACTTGGCCTTTTGGCCTGTTCATTATGTATCTGCAGGCAGCACGCCAGCGTGGGGCGAATCTCTCAGTTCCATCTCCAAGCTGGCCTAGAAAACGGGAGCTCGGAAAATCAATCAAAAGACCATCTTCGCAAAGGCAATTCGCGGCAATAAAGCCTTGTCTCGAATGAGAAATGCATTATCAAGATATCATCTCCTGTTCCTATATAAGCCCTAAATGATATTTACAGTATGGTCTGAGTTGAGGCACGCTGCCGAGAATCTGTACGAGCTGGTGCTAATTCATTTATACAAAGGTTTGGGCCAATATAAAGGAGTTAACCGTATATTTGAGTCGTTGTAATCTCCCATAAACTCCCTCTTAAGCACTGCCTTGACACACAGCCTCGCTTAAAAGCGATTGTAGGCGACTAGCTAAGGTGAATTATCCACATCCATGTGAAACCCTACATCATGAAGGCGACTGGTTTACAAGTGAAGTGACGATGGCGGTCCGAGGATCCAGCTAGATCAAACGGTTGGTGGTCCGACCACTTTGACGAGCTAGCCTGGTCACACATCATCATTCACCTGCTCGAGCCTGCAAGCTATGTACTAGGGGGCTACTGTCCCGACTTTATGAACCTCTCGAGGCAGGGTAAACACATCAACCTAGGGATCCCTGTCCGTGCGATCGACCACAAAGGCGAGGCCGTTATTTACAAGGAGTAGAACATGGCGGCCAGATGACTGTGTCGCCGCTACCTCGCAGCTGCTCCACGAGATCCAGTGCCCGTAATATTACAATTGCGTCGTCACAGCACGATGGAAGACATCCGTATTGAGCAGATCAATGAGGACCAGGAAAAGTTCTCGGCTCAAGGGTGTCGCCACCGCCGACAACCAATAGGGTGAGTAAAGCCTGTGTTATGTCAACATGGGAACATGACGTTCTAATCGTTGTATTTCCATTGTCACCGGCCTCGCTGGTTGGCAAGCTGAGTACCATGTGCGCCTCGTGGCCTCAACATTGAGGAGAAGTGCCGCTGGATCGAGGACCATATTCGCTACGAGCTGGGCCGAAGCTCTTCGAGTAGTTCACGACACTCAGTTTCATGCAAAACGGCTCGTCTGTGTCCAAAGCTTGCAACCAGAACGACACAACGATCAACTTCCGCATTTTTGCTTACAATCACTCGCGCCATCATGACCTACTTTGTATCAACAAACCCAAGGACTTTTCCCGCAAGATCATACTAGAGTTCCTCATGAGCTACCTGGGCGCCTCGCTCGGCAACGACATACGCCAGGCCGAGGGCAAGCCCTACTTTGAGTACCATCCAGCCCTGCTGCCCCTATCGGTCATACCCAAACGCTTGTATTCTGTCCAGCGCGGACGACGAGCAGAAGATCAGCAAGACGTCTGACATTCTTCTGGGCCCCGGTTTTAGAAACTACGACCACCACCAGCCTAGCTACGAGAAGTGGGACTCGCTGCTGCCCAACAGCTGGGGCGAGACGGTTCGCGCACCGCTCGCTGGTCTTGATTGTGCTCAGCTACTCAAACAACAAGTGTAGCGACTGCAATGTCGACCTCATTGTGAGGCACGATGATGAGTGGGACTAGCTGCGCTCGCTGCTGACGGTGACTTAGACCATGGAGCTGATGGGGCCTAAGGAAGACAAGGGCAAGCCCATCGACATGTTCGAGATGCCCAATAGCAAGGCTGGGCACTTCCTGCTACATGACCATCTCGAACTCGGGTTCGATGCTTGCACGTACGAAACGCTTGTTAAGTCTGCATAGAGTATCTGAAAGCCAATTTGATCGATATTCCAAAGACTTTTCATTGAAATGGGGACTGTTCATGGAGTTATGCAGTGGTCTGTTATCCATTTCACAACGACGAGGGGTCGAATGAACCAGACAGTCGCTATGCATGCATGACAAGGATAATTCGAAATCCGGCTGCGTCCCATGCCACCGTGATTCACTCGACAAGGGTGAGACAGATGTTTGCTTTGCCATTCGAAGAACAGAGTCGGGGGTGTGTGCCCACGTCAGCACAGCCTACCATTGTGATGCATAGCGGGTATCTCACGTCATGCGCAGAAGCCTGGAACATCCGCATTGCGAGAGAGAGTAGCGGATGAAAATATAAATTGCGACGGGCTCGCAGGCCTGCCAAACTTTGTTGAGCTTTCTCAACAAGTGTACGACCTCATCAATTCCCACAGCTATACCAGAAGATGTACGCATCAACATTTACGCTCTTTTTCGTTGCCTCCTTAGGCTCAATGGTTCTTGCGGTCAAAGTTCCCGGTGATCCCTGTGTCTACAACGGCGGATACCAGTGGGACTGCACGGAAGACACACGCAGCATCGTAAGCCTTGCCTTGACCCACCAGCCCGATGAAATCAGTTGCAGGCAACACAATCAGCCGTCACAGCCGATACTAATTGTGGTCTTTCTCCTGCTGTAGCTATCGTGCTATCCGGATACCAATACCTGGCAAATTCAAACCACTTGCAGAGCACCCGCTCGCTGTCCTCCTGGCAACGGTGGTGGCTTCTGCGTCATCATGCCCGAGGACATCCCAAAGCCTCCCGGGAACAGCTTCTGGGCTTAGACGACAGGCTGTCATAGCTCTCGAGACTGGTAGTCTAAGATGCTACTGTCCTAGGAGATCTCGGAATATTGCCAAGCGCGGTTGTGCTAGGAGAACTCTGGGGCTTTTCGTTCCATCTTGTGTTAAGAGAGGAAGGAATTGGTGAAGGGAAGACCATGTCTATGCTTCGAGAACACTAGATCTCTACATGCCGTAGTTTTCTACAATTTGCGCGAGAACATCCCTGGTACACTGGACTACCTCTACATAACGCAAAATAGTGTAATCAGATATGCAGAGCTATACATACTTGATTAGAATTATGGAAAGCTAACAGAACGCAAAGAGGATATCGGTCTGTCCCGCTTTTTTCCGAGCCACCGGGCCGTGTATGACACACCATATGTCCCCGCCCAAAAAGCAAGGACAACCTACTACATGTCTATGTTGTCAAAGCTTGATTGTAAGACAGTGGAAAACCGGCAAAACTATGGGCTCAGCCGGGAGTTGAACCCGGGACCTGCTACAGTTTGTTCAGCTAGTGACAACTCTGGATGTTGTGTTCCGGAGCGGGATTGGTTTTCCCGAAGCAGCAATCATACGACTAGACCACTGAGCCAATATTTGAATGGAAGTCGGCGAACTTAATGGGATACCTGGCCTTGAGATGTCTCGAAACCACATCCTCGAACGGAAACAAATTCTCGTCGCTAGAGAATCCTTTGTAGACATAACAGGTCATATTGCATGGGCCACAGTTCTCGCTGCCATCAGACTTCAGTCGGCTAGGCCGCCGCACTGCTACGGAACTTCGGCTTCCCACTCTCCTCACTTTGCTACATATATATCAGCTCGTGCGCAGCCTCTTCCTCCATCGTGTCCAGACTCATCAGACTCAGACTTATAAGCTCGAGACCGCCAGGCGAGCCACTCATCCTCGGGCTTGGCGCGGTCTTGCTCAAGATAAAAGAGCGAAGTGCTCCAGGTCTTCCGCAGGGGATCATCAGCCTTCCGAGTCATATACGCGTTAGCGACGAGAAATCGCTCTCAGACCGGCAATTTAGCCGGTTGTGAGCAGCAACACCTGGCGCACTGCTCGTAACTGTAGCTGTATCCAGCCACCGGCTCGCCAGATGCAGCGCGGAGGGTAGCAATGAGGAAGTCGGTTGCGCGACAAAAGAGCCATTCCAGCCCACCGTTGCTTCAATAGCTTCGAATAAAGAGTCTGGCTCGAGTTTCACCATTCGAAATTAAAGCTTTCAATATCCGTGAGTTTTCACAGTCTGCCATCCTTCAGGACACTGGCTACTCTTGGTTTGGGACCCATCGTCGCACACAAGCACGTGTCACATAGGGTTGTGGTGATGTTAAATTCGATAACCCCATGAAGAGTACAGGAGATAATGCCTCTTCATTAGAGTTTATGTGCTTGCCGCCCAATAAATCAGATTTTTTACGGTGGCAAATCAGAAGCCACTTTGCGTTTCCGGGAGCTGCGCAGTCGTCTTTGAGTGCTGAATCTTGAGAGATCACACTTTGACGCGCGGGCTTAGTTGACATTTCTGCTGCAGTCAAGAGTGTGAGTGCCGAGGATTTGACATGGAGTCTAGACCGGAAGTAATGTTATGGGCCGACAGCATTTCGACCTCCGTGTCTATAATCCAGTTAGCTACTGCCGACCACGACAGTATAATGTTTTTCCTTGAGGCCTGCCAAGCCAGAAGTCTGGGACTGGTATATGATGCTGATGGCATTGCCACCGTTTCAACATCTCTTCCCAATGTATAGCGAATCAACACCTGCTCGTATCACTGAGCGTTGTTGTGCCGTTTGAAGATGCGAATGTTGAAATGCTAGGTCGGATTCATCAGAAAGGGGTTGTAACTATATACGGTAGTACTACAAGTTGTCTCAATAGACATCACAACGGGCACCTTGATGGACCTGTTAATAATCTGCCCGGTGAGTGCGTTGAGCTTGCATCTTCTACGGTTGTGTCTACTGCACGGCCTCTATAAGAAGTGTAGAAACTAAGTCATTGGGTTTCTGTAAACTTGCGAAAATCCACATCACACTTTCGAATAGACTACAAGAGATAATTGAGGACAATTTAGTGGCGCAATTTGACTCATTAAAACAGAAAGACTCTCAGGTCGTTGATAGAGCATCAAAAACCAGGCGGTTGGTCCTTGCAAGATATATTACATGTAAGCAGACTCACATGAAACTAACCGTTTAGGGCGTGACTTTGCAATTAGTTCGTATCTTAACATTGCCTCAATCCCAAAAACAACTTCGGTGATAACACATTACGGTGCACAACTGAAGACGTCCGCTACTGCGAGCTCATGAGTATATAGTAGAGATGCTATCTTCGTATACTAAATTGCTCGGCCAGAAATGATATACATTTTAGTTGTCTAACACTTTTATCCCAAAGGACAACTGGTCAACTGCTTCGACACTTGGTCACCGCATCAGCGGAAGTTTCAGAAACCGACGTAGAATTTAGTAGTGTTTTAGAACTATTCATAGCACGTACGACCACAGGATCGAGAAAATTGAGGGTCCCGTCCGCTCCCCTGTACACAAGCTCGATACCGCCGGATCAGTAGTTGGGTCGGTGACGACCAGCGAATCCCCGGTGTTGTACGTTTTTTTTGGCATTACTTTAACACTGAACAACCTTGAATGTCGTCTTAAGCTATGCATTCCGTAGTGATCCGTGCTATGGTGTATGTCGTTTTCTTACGTAGTTGACCTTATCCCATCTCCCAAAGTGGCATACAGTCCGGCGAGTCAAGAATCATGACCTTGTGCCGTAGTGTGTTTTTTACTAGGCAAGTGAAAGAAAGGTTAGAACAAGGCGATCATTCCCGAGGACATATACAAGCAGGAAGAAAGGTGGGTTTCTTGAATGACTACCTGTGTGTTGTTACCACAGATCATAGTCCATACACGGCGATACATTTCCGGGCTTTTAACTATGCTACTCCATTGAGACAAAAACGATGCCAGTGAATGAGTACCTATAAAACGACTTTTAAGCAAACAACAACCTGGCGTGTCCACTGATTTCATAATTATGTAGTAGGAGACGAATTTAATATGCATTTAACAGCAACAATAACGCCATAATAGACTTGATGCTCGAGGCGTACACTTGTGGGTCATTCACAATCAATGCCTTCAGATGAAACCGGCCATTAGGTAGTTATGGGTGTAAGGTCGCCACTGGGATATGCACAAATGCGCATTGACTTGTTACTACCCTCAATTATGGATACGCCAGCAGTATCACAATCACTTACGAATGGTAATCGCTCATTAACCCACCGTTTCAGACAGCGCGAGCAGCTTCTTCATTTTTTGGCACCGTGATATCGCCCACCCGATACCAGTGACTACCGACGATGTGATTGTACCGGAAGTTGATAGACCCGTTATGTATGCCTTATCTTGCTATAGGCTTTGCGCACGAGGGTCATCTTGAGGTCCATAGTACAGTTTCAATATATATCAGACACTCCGGGCTATAAATACTCTCAGGCAAAGACACCTTCAACGGCACAGGACTGGGGATACCAGAAGGCACCAGAGTTGAACACGAGCATAAAGTGGTTGCACTGTCGAGCAAATCACGGGGTTTGTTCCTGGACGTCATCATCTAGCCATTGCTGAAGATACTGAGCATCATCTGCCCATCTGGACCGACTGCGTAGTAATTCGGGTGGTTGATGTAGCTGTTGACCATCTTGCGGAAATGTTCTGTTTGCTAGTGGCGTATAGGTCGAGACTATGAAATATCTCGAGCCTGCTGCCATGTGCAGCGTCTAACATGCGCCCTGACACAGTCAGCATGTTAGTCCAAGGTCGCACGTAATTGGGAGCAAAGGCGGCGCCCATGGTGATAGCCTGGGACACATCCAAAACACCGCTGCCAGCATTGAGACCCTGTGCCATGTAGCGGTCACCAATGTCGCTGGCAGTCTCTAGAGGTAAAATGGCCACAAGAGGAACCAGTCACAGTAGTACACGCATGTTGGATCAGTATGGAGTCTTAATGAATGGATTCCGAAAAGCCCGTTTTTCTAGTGTCTTATTTGCAGCTCTCTGTATAGGCCACAGGAAGACACAGACAATATGTTTGAGGCTCATTACCTTGAAAACTGTTTAGACAAAGCAAATCATATATGCAGGGCTTAGTATGTCCGTGTGCAAAACCTCGGCCACCCGTGTAGAGCTACTGATAACACTCGAGTAACATCGATTAACTATGACTGGCGTGCGACCTTGCACAGCTTAAATGAATGTGGGCAACTAGGTGACACTCGGTATCCTTTTCGGGTCAGTTAGCTTTATTTTTTTTATGTGCTCCGTACTTCACACGACCTTTGATCAATGACCAGGTACAACGAGCTTTAGCGAAAATTATCCCGATCTTAACAGTCCCAGTACATATAGATCGGCCGTAGTTAAGCATCCAATTTGTAAATGACTAATAGCGCATTCGATATCTAGTATGCAGATATGAATCTTTGGATTTGTAATGTCTACATAAAACAGAGACATACGAATGCGCATGCAGACTTACTACTGATACATTGAGAACGTTTATATGGTACCGCCGATGTATTGACGCTATGGCAGTAGCACTTTTGAAGAGACAATGTTTTGACTATAATAACTTGATTAGTTACCATGGTCTGCAGGTCTAAGTGTAGAGGTCTTAAGGGGTTCGATTATATCTGTTTTGGAAATAGGATATGACTGACCCAGTCAGACTTCGCTTAAAATGCTTGGGTGGTAGACTCGTGCTGTGCTATACTTTGATCCACGCAATAGTCAGTACGAAGTGGAGTATTTGTTCAGATAAATACGCAAAGTATTCGTGGTGAAAATATCTCTCAGGGCTTCTAATTATACGTTATCGAAAAATGAGCATATTGTTTCCTACCTGCCACAGTGAGCTTTTCTATCCCATAAATATTATTTTTAACGCTCCAAAATCGCAGCCGCTAAGAACTACTTCGCCGATATCGATATTTTCTAGCATCTTTAATTATTGCATGGCTGAAAATTTGTGTACTGTCCCTTCCAATCATTTCACGACAAGAGTTACACACATATATGAATCGAAACTCTACATCAGAAAAACAATTGGTATTTCGGAGAGTACGATTTTGCTTTGATTTCGAGTTCCAGACCCTTAGAGAACAGGATGGCGAATTGCTAAAATGCTGCAAAACGTGCTTTCATACTCAACGTAGTAGGTAATGTAAGTAGTTTTCCGTGTGGTGAGGAATCCTTACAAAGCTGGGTCGGATGGATAATACCCTTGAGTATTGAAAACATTATGTAGAGAAACAATTAAGAGCAAACACCTTAAGCGGAAATCGTTAGGAATCAAGTTAACCACGTAGACTAAATTGCTAATGCTGTAAGCATAAATACGAGGATCGAGAAGGTCAGCAGTGGCGTTATATTCTCATAAAGAACACTACAACAATGACAATTATAGCTACTGCGACTTAGTAGCTAGTAGATGATATGTTAGCATCAGATGGTGAAAGAGATTAAACAATAATAGGCTTAAGGTAGAAGATGTAGGTCATAAAT